AACACAGTATCATTAAATTGGGAATATTATCCTAACCCTATTATTTTAGCTATCGTAACGTATCTGTATATTCTTCTGATCATGAAATAGCCTTTCAAGCATTCAACCAAAACAAAACAAATTAAGTCTAGTGCTCAAAACTAGTCTAGCATGCAACATAGTATACTAGCTGGAAGTCCATTCAAAAGTACTTCTTCTCAAAATTATTCATGGTGGACTCAAGTTTAGGAGCTACATACTCAAGAACGATCTGTTTTCGACATTCGGCGCTCTTGCAATGTACAGGTATATGAATGTTTGATTAAAAAACAACAACACATCTACACTATGATAGTTCACTTTTCCCGCTCATTAGATACTCGCGCACTTCTCTCGTGAAATTGTTACTTAATAAGTAGGTTTTCTGCGGTGATCAACTTTTAATCGAAAATAACACGTCGTTGATAAACATTAAGTATACGAGTTGATATTTAACATGTACATATGTGTGTGTATGCTAATGTCGAAAATTCCATTTTATAGTTAGAAATGTAAACATGGTCTTCAACTGATTTGTCACTCTGTTTGTTTGTTTTACAGCAAAGCCACATCTTCTGTGTCCACCACGGGAAATTGAACCCTGGATCTTAGCGTTGTAATTCCGTAAACTTACACCACCGGTGGACCTGATACGTTTCACTAACATATGTATATAAATCAAAGTGTACCTAAGATTACACGCATTATTATCACTTGTTATTGTGTCAATATTATAACCGTTAGTTTTACCAACAAACAGGGGTACGGTAATTATACTTTATATTGAAAATTGTTTGTGTATTCTTGAAAAATAAAAGAAGATCTGGCAGAAATTTCATGAGATACGAAATAAAGCATAATTGATATTTGTAACCGTAGTAACCCCCTAGCTTTTAGATTATTGTGGGATCTTACTGAAACTTTTATTATTTATCAGTAGAAAGCTTTTCTTTATGTCTACTACACTGGAACTGTTACAGCTCATCATTCCACACCCGAACTTCAACACTACGAACATAATACTTTGAATATGTTGATTCTGCAAAAGATGGATTATCAAAATGATCCGACGGTAAAGACCTTAAGTAGTATATAAAAAAAAACATACTATTACAGTCAGAATTCGTTAATTATCTGGCTTAGAATGTTTAAACACCAGAATCGCCACATATTTTTCACAAAGGTAATGCAAAAGCTGTCAACCGAAGCCAGGAAACTTTTACCACAAGCCAAGCAACTCTCACGTCTACTGATTATTTCACCTGCATCTTCAACTCAAGCAGAATTCACTGTTTCAGTAACCCTCCACCGACTGAAAACCAGCAGGCATAGAACATTGACATAAAGTAGACTGAACTCCGTAGCAGTTTGTCACACGCACCGAGTTATTCTGGATGAGATCGATCCTGGTTTAATTGGGAAATGATTCAAGTTCCAAATCAGGAGAAACAGATTTGGGAAATATTAAGGTGAGTAACATTATATCTTTTCAAATCGTAAAATATCAATGTGTAGTAATATTTGTAACTTTTGATAAGTCAATGTATATTTAAAATCAATGTTATTTTGTAAGAAGGTAATAACTTTTGTCCTCCTCCACCTTAGAATAGAGATCGAGGCCCTTTTATTTGTTTGTGTTGCAGATGTTTACTTAAATACGAATCCTGGTGTGTAAAATTACTACAATATTAATGGGAACTTATGATAAAAAACAGCTTGTTTAACACATTTTTTAATATACAAGATTATGACACAGTTCTAGGAATTGTGTTTTAGTTTACAAGATTATGATACAATTCTACACAGTGTGTGGTAGAATGCTTTAGTTTACAAGATTATGATACAACTCTACACAGTGTGTGGTAGAATGCTTTAGTTTACAAGATTAAGAGTGTTAAGTGTATTAATTTTATCATGTTGAGGGCATATTTCGAAATTTAATATCAACTTTATCAAATGTTCTTAATATATTTATACGGGCACTTTTCATAAATTTATTCTGTCATATATAGAAACGAAATTATATTATTTGATTTTACATTGAATACAAAACATACTGTACAATTAGAATATATATATATATATATATCGCCCTTTTTCCGGAAAGCCTTGAACTTGAAGTTGGCTGGAATAAAGTATAAGTTTACCAAATTACTTAGAACATGACAACTGTTTTTCAACTTCCTTATCATTCGTTGTCCACAACGTCTTCTGAAAACGGCAATCATCCATCAATTTGAACATCGAATTCCGCCCATGATACGATTTGCGCCATTCTTCACTTACAGTCACCAATTTGTCAACATGGCTTGATGGAATACATACTCAACTGACTGAAACCAGAATGTTATCTACCAGAGTTCTCCAACACGAACACCATTAGCTATGTGTTCACGAGCTGATATGACGCAAGGAATATATTTCGTAATAATAAATACGTCTCTTAAGCCGCATGGGTGTTAGCGGATTTGCTGTTTAAATGTTCCTATTTACCCATACAAATTATACAAATGTCATACAGCAGGAGGCTTTTCCCTATCAACCATCAGCTGGTGTAATTATGGGTAAAACATCAGCGAGAATGTTGTTTTTATTATAGTGTGTGAAAGTTTCATCTTCTTATCGTTTACCATTTATTTCTCTAGCTCTCGAACTTTTAAAGGTTGAATACTTCTTGTGGTAGACTGAGTTTCAATTTACAAGATTATAACAAAGTTCTGGAAAGCGTGGATTTCGTAAACTGAAACCCAAATTACCACACTGTCCAGAATCGTCATTAATTTCGTCAACTGAAAAACAAATTACCACACTATCTAGAATCGTGTCATTAATTTCGTAAACTGGAACACAAATTACCACACTATCCAGAATCATGTCATTAATTTCGTAAACTGAAAAACAAATTACCACACTATCTAGAATCGTGTCATTAATTTCGTAAACAGAAACACAAATTACCTTACTGTCCAGAATCGTCATTAATTTCGTAAACAGAAACACAAATTACCTTACTGTCCAGAATCGTCATTAATTTCGTAAACAGAAACACAAATTACCTTACTGTCCAGAATCGTCATTAATTTCGTAAACAGAAACACAAATTAGCACACTATCCAGAATCGTGTCATTAATTTCGTAAACAGAAACACAAATTAGCACACTATCCAGAATCGTGTCATCAATTTCGTAAGCTGAAACTCAGTCTACCAAACACTTTTCAGAACTTTGCCATAATCTTGTAAGCTAAAACAGTCTACCAAACACTTTTCAGAACTTTGCCATAATCTTGTAAGCTAAAACAGTCTACCAAACACTTTTCAGAACTTTGCCATAATCTTGTAAGCTAAAACAGTCTACTGAATGACATGATTCTGGATAGTGTGGTAATTTGTGTTCCAGTTTACGAAATTAATGACACGATTCTGGACAGTGTGGTAATTTGTGTTCCAGTTTACGAAATTAATGACATGATTCTGGATAGTGCGGTAATTTGTGTTCCAGTTTACGAAATTAATGACACGATTCTAGATAGTGTGGTAATTTGTTTTTCAGTTTACGAAATTAATGACGATTCTGGACAGTGTGGTAGTTTGTGTTTCAGTTTTAATCATTATTTCACAGTTATGAAATGTATATTGAAGTTTGTAAACTTTAAATGGTATTGGAAAGTACCTTGCACTCAAATGTGTCTGCCAACTTTAAGAGCTAGGTAAGTCATTTCATATACGAGTAAAACATATCTTTTTTAGGCTATGGTGTTATATTTGGATTTAAAATGACAAGGCAGAAGGAATCACTCAACTGATATGTGAGACAATTAAATCACTATTTTTTATGTAAGTGTAAATATCTGAAACATAAGGTTAATATTTAATCCTTTCAAAAATATTTATAAAAATAGATTTCAGTTAAATATGCTTTTTATTAGTAGTTGGAAGATGAATTATCACAGTGTAGACAACAATTATATTAAACCTGTTTCTAAAGCACTTTACATACTTCGACTCCAGAGTTTGAAACAATCATTTTACGCTTATATATATTTATTTTAATTATCACAAAGTTTATGTGAAATAAAAATCTAAAAATCTATCTACAATAGATCTCAAAGATATTTATTAACCTTGTATGGAAAAGAATTTTCACTAATGCAATTACTGTATCTAACTAGATTAAAAAATTAACAGTCTTAGATTTCTTTGTCAAGAGTCATGTAAGACTTTTTTCAAACATATTTTACACTATAAATGAAAACTACCTTTTATAGAGTTGAGAATGTTATATCTTTATAATTTAGTAAAGTTATATCAAATTTAGGGCTGTAAAAAAAATCTTTGATTTATGGGCAACAAACTTTCAATTTTTTTAAACTCCTTTACTGTCACATGCTATACGATTAATTTCATTTCAATATTATAGCTAAATGGGTTATGATATAAGCAGTTAGAATAGGTAAGTTGCTATCATGAACATATTTAATATAATCTTCTAACCAATGAAATCAAACTGTTCAACACAAATCACATATTAATATTGATTGTTAAATAATCATTCTATGAATATGTAAAATAAGTATTTTAAATAAACAACATAATACAAGACAAATTGTTACTATTTATCTGAAATTATTACCATAAATAATTAACACTCAGGTTAAACCACGAATAAAAAACAAAAACTAAGCCTTCCTTAACTGACTGTATCCATTATGGATTTCAACTATTTATCACTAGAATATGTCATTCACACAAAAAGTAAATATTAATTTCTCTAGTTATAGTTTACAATTTTGTAAAGAATTATAAATGTTATTAGCACATTTTAAGACATTTTATAAATGTTTACAACAATGATTTAAAAAAAAATATATATATATATATATATTTAAAGAGTCTGAAACATAATACTAAGAAAGCTGGTTCATTGTTGATGAAGATTGATATTGTACATAAAGACAGGAAAAGCCCAGAATGGCAACTTACCTTCATCATTAATAGTAATGTATTGAGGACAATGAGAACCATGATAAAGTACTCAAAGCCTGTCGATACGACAAGTTTCCACATTTTGTATTTGATACTGTCTTTGTTTTTAGGCATATAACGCTGAAGTGGCTTGGCTTGTAATGCAAAGTCAATACAAGATTTCTGAAAATAAACAATCTTTGTCTATTATTTTGTGTTTGAAAAAGGCACTTTCATAATCAAAGAACAAAAGCTGAAAGACCTTTCATAACAGTGTTAAAAAGAAAAGCCAAGAAAGAATGGAGAGTGTTAAACGGTTTGGAGATAAAGAAAAAGTGAAGAACATGAGAAACGTTTTGGAAAAAAGCTAAAATGAAATGTAGAAATAATAATTAAAATATAGTCAAGAAAAAAAAAACACCAAATAATTAAGACAGAAAAAAAAACATAAAAAGAAAGGCAATTTTAAGCATGGAAAAAAGAAAGACATGTATTAGAATTTAACAAAATTAAGGCTATGTGTGGATTGATTGTTTGTTTGTTTTGAATTTCGCGCAAAGCAACATGAGGGCTATCTGCGCTAGCCGTCCCTAACTTAGCAGTGTAAGACTAGAGGGAAGGCAGCTAGTCATCACCACCCACCGCCAACTCTTGGGCTACTCTTTTACCAACGAATGGTGGGATTGACCATCACATTATAATGCCACCACGGCTGAAAAGACGAGCATGTTTGGTGTGACGGGGATTCGAACCCGCGACCCTCAGATTGCGAGTCGAGCGCCTTACCCACCTGGCCATGCTGGGGCCACTATGTGTGGATAAATACAAAGAGAGAGGACCAAGGTAAAATAGTTTAAAAACAAATGACATTATTTGAGAATTTAGGATAATGGTCAAAATTCTTCACTTTTCTACCATTATTAAAATAATTAAATTCACTAAAGTTGCTACTAACCACAACTTACGAGTCATCTCAGCATAATGAAATATTTATTTGTAATAAAGTTGTAACTGTATCTAATACTGGATTGAGTGATTTTATTTATAAACTAAAAAATAACATTTGCTAATTATTCAAAAATGATGTAATGATAATTTAGTGTAGATAATTATTACTATTATTAATTTTAGTTTCTTTTGCACTTGAAAGAATTCAATATTGGAAATATTTTGATATCTTATAACTTTTGTTTATTTTGCAAGAAAAATATTGGATTGTTAAAATAAATCTAGGTCATTAAGATTTCCCTAAGAACAACCTGCACCACCAAAAAAATTTTCAATTTTCCAATACGAATGAAATGGAAAAAAAACCAGTATTTGGACAAAATTACTTTTACAACACCCAAAAGTTTTCCCTAGTGAGGCACACAATATGTATATTATCCAAGTAGTAGAATAAAGGGAAATCACTGAATGTAACCTTCTATAAACAAAACAGGAAAATAACTCTTAGCTTACTCTTTTCTCGAGTGCAATAACATTGATCATACTAATATCGTAAACAAACAAAAATTTCTGTCAGACCTCACAGTCATTTTGATTTTATCCATCTTAATCTGAAATGGGCAAAACAAAAAGCTTGAGAAGAGTTTTCAGATCACAAAATACTGTGTCATATTTTCATATTATTTAAAGTATTTTATTGTTAGATATCTGTGAAATGCCTGTTTGTGTAAAATATCATGGCTAATAAACCTACTCAACACTTCTGAATGCATAATTACATTTACCAATGTAAGCTCACCTTTTATCTTAACAAAAGGGGAAGTAATGGTTTCACTATGAATAGCTGTATAGGTCTAATTTTTGTATGTGTATTCAAGTTTTCAATTTTTTGTTAATAATTATTATGATGAAAATATGGTGATTTATAGCAACTACAAATAGACGAGTTTCAGTGGACATCTGCAAATCAATGTACATTTTTTTAACCTGCCTTTCCAAAAATAATATCGCTGAAGTTGTTTTTAAAAGAAGTATCTTTAAACTTGTTCTCCCAATGAAATACCTTCTAACCCGCCTTTACAATAAAATATCTAAGAATCTGCCTTTCCAATGAAGTATAAAAAATTCTGCCTTTTCAATGAAGTATAAATAACCTACTTTGCCAAAAAAAAGCCTCAAAACCTGCTTTTTGATGGAAACATCATCAAAATTACCTCATCAAGAAGGTATCTTTGAACTCGTTTTCAAAGAAGCGTTTTCAAATTTGTTTTCCTAAGAAATATATGTTATTATAATACAGAGAATACATTAAGACCAAACTCAAGGATATTCATTAACTAATAACATGTTTTGCAGTATTTACACAATCTTGTACGATTTGCTAACATATAACTGCTAGGAGCTCACTTGATTTTTGTCGAGATCGCCTTCTTCTAATTCTTTTTCTCCTTGCTCCTGAAATGTAATAATGATCAAGGCCACAAAGATATTCACAAAGAAAAACGGAAAAACGATGAAGAAAACAACATAAAAAATTGCCATTTCAATGCGAAATCTGGGTAGAGGTCCATAATCTTCATACGTTGCGTCCATAGAATTTTGTAGAACTCTGCAAAACAAAACAAGGATATAGCGCCAGTAAAGAAAGATTTGCTACAAATTATTATCAATCTTATTGTGATGTAATATTATACAAACTACTTATCAAAAAAAATATAACATTTCCACTAAAAACACTTCAAGTACCTTTAAAATTGTTTGCCACTGATCAAATAACATTAACAATTTAGCCCTCAATTGGTTAAATTGAAAAGTTAAATTGTTTTGTAGATTTTCGCAAAACTACTCGAGGACTATATGTGCTTGCCATTCTGAAGAGGGAAATGACCCAGTCAACATCACCCACCATCAACTCTTGGGCTACTATTTACCAATGGATGGTGAGATTGGCTGTTACATTATATACCCACATAGTTGAATGGGCGAACACGTTTGACAACGGATTTTGGTCCTGAGATCAACAGTTTGCCAGTCAAGCGTCCTAACCACCAGGCCGTGTCAGATCAAAACCATTATTAGTTTCCAATGCATTTCGTTCATAGTTCAAAAATAGCGTATTCTTTTGCAATCCCCCCAAACATGATGCAATGAAACTGATTTTCTTTCATTAAAATATAATTAGTAAATACAATTATCTGTTACCACCAAAAGTGTAACCAGAAAGGAGGATATTTTTGCTGCAAAATCTTAAATCCACGGTTAAATACCTATCAAAGAAAACGTTTGAAAAATATATAGTTTTAAAGTTTTTCCTGACTTTCTAAGCAACAACCGAAATATTATGTATTCTCAAGATACTCCTATATACACTTTTGCAAAATGTCATGTTTTAACAAAAGTTGGAAGACATGCAAGGGTTCTAAACTTACGCAGGCCAACCTTCGCCTGTCGAAACTGTGAAAAGCGTTAACATTGCGGACATGACGTCATCGTAGTGAAATGGTCGTTTCTCCCATAGTCGTTTGTTAACTTCCGGTGGCTTTCCATCTTCTGTGAAGACGAAGTATTCTCCTCTGATTGAAGAAAAATGATCATATCTTAAATTTTTATGTGGACTGTAAGTCGTGTTATAAAACTTAAACACTGAATTTTGAGTTTCCTTGTGTTACATAAATATATTGCGTTATGTTTTTACAGCCGTCCTCTGTTAAAAAACAATATTAATTATTATCATAGAAAGGATATAAGATGCTAGAGAAAATACTAAGTTATTTAAAACATTGATAAAAGTATAGTATTATTTAATTTTTGGAATTTACAAAAAAAAAAGCTTCCTATGCTCTTAATAAGAATGGGTTATTTCTTGAACAATGTGGCTGTACATCTTTCAAAGACTTACTCGCATTCTTCTTTTGTGAGTTTGGATTCATCGTTACAAAAGAAAAACCTCCCATTGAAGAGCTGTACAGCTATCACAGCAAAGATGAATTGGAAAAGGATATATACAATAAGGATATTGAACACATTTTTCAATGACGTCACCACACAATCAAACACCGCCTGCAATGAAAGTGATCGTAGGTGAAACAGAACACGAACACAAATAATCCAAATAACACTCAGACACGACATTTATATTATTTCACGCGTATCACAAACAGTAATTCTGTTTGATACAATTTTGGGTAACAATGCATAGAGATTTACTTGATACAACAATATATGTTTAAAACCCAGTTTGATTTTGTTTGTGAAACAGTAAAGTTTAACTGAATACTAAGATTTTTTTACATGTAAAAATCGACATTTCATTTCCGTTTTTCTCAATAATACACTTGTAGTCTGAAAGTCAGTTACTTGAAATATCCAAAACTCACACAGTTTCTTCCACATAAAAAAACAACAAAACAATCATATAAATATCTCTACTACAAAAATAACACATTTCCTTTGAACATTTCCTCTCTAACTTTGTTATACATTTCAGTTTCTAAGAAACCATTAAGTAGCTAGCATGAGTAATATCATACTCGTTCCTATTTCCGTTCCAGTTTTTTGATGAAGATAGTCTCATTCAAACAGAAAGAAATTTTGTTTGGATAATAGATCAATAGTTTCAGCATAAAGATCTTTGTAAGCACTGAGTATAAGTAGCAGTTTGGGATTTTTTTTCCGTCTGTACCTATCGTCGTTATCAATATCAGTATAAAGAGAGATTACAATAAAAATGACTAACATAGTATCATTTCACATCATGTTTTAGTTGCTAATTTTAAAGAAAATTCTATTAATCTCCGATGAAACTTTGAACACATTTGCAGGTAGAGTTTTAAAAGTTCGTTTATAAACGGTGGTTAGATTGGGATTTTGAAAGAGATGGAACTCCCGTTTGTTACCTATTTCGTACTAGCAGCATAATACAACTGAGGATAATACACTCCCTGAGAAGAACATTAACATGTTAAATAGTTCCATATTTACATTCAAATTGGAAGAAGACCAGAAACGCTATAGGCTTAAATCCTCAAGGGGCGGAACTTCGTTCCGACCCAGTTTACTCCTGTTTGTAAATATATTAAATCGGCTCGTTCCACTTTATTTACCTGAAACCGTGACGTAAGCCAGTAATTGAGTGAGAGATGATTAATTATTGACCTCTAAAGGAAATAAAGCGCAAAAGGATCGTTTTTCCAGTAAGGGTGATGTGAAGTATGAAGAGGTGGAACCAATAATCAACGAGCTTACGGAATAACGTGTTAATACGTAATTAAGTATTTAAATTACTGTAGAAGATTAAATTATCCTCTGCGTAGAAAGGTAACCAAGCTGTTCCTAAAATACTGTAAAATATTTGGATGTAATAACATACAATGTAATATCAGAACACTATATATTTCTTTCTTTGGCCTCAGACTCAGGTAAGTCCTTCATACATCCATGCAATCCTACGGACTCAATCAAAGAGCTGTCTTTAACGTGAGCCTCACTTGGTGGTGTCCAGACAACTTTAAAGGCTTGTATACGCCACTGGTGGAAACTACTGGGCAGGTAGGAATTACAGCTGTTTAATTAAATATTATATATCAGAACAAACCAGATATATTTCCTCGAATTTACTCATTTTGAATAACACATAAGAATAACCTGGCTTATAATTTAAGTTCAATAAATAATCCCTATGAAATACTTCATCATACTTGACCACCAACTTTTCTACACGCTATCTCATCTATATTATGATCGTGGCTTGTAAATACTTCATCATACTTGACCACCAACTTTTCTACACGCTATCTCATCTATATTATGATCGTGGCTTGTAAATGCTTCATCACAGCTTCTCTGTTGCTATCTTATGCTGACAACAGAACTGCCTTCATCTTTTTCTTTAAAACCAAAATAATCTCTTCCTTGTAAAGATCTTAATCAATCTTTAATCTGCGACAATTTGGTTGAATTAACTGTGATCTGGGCTATTTTCAATTAAATGCTATAAAGAACCAAGCTATTTCTTCATTTGGATCGTATAAAATTTGATTTATTTTGTAAATTAACACCATATCTTAAGTTTGTTTCATCCGAGAAACATTTTTGTAATCTTAACTTTCTGGTTAATTCTTCATTTTGAACCGGTTCCGGTGTCTGAGTAGTAGGCTTGAAAGCACATAGATCAGAGAGTACATTGTATCACTTTGTGCGTAACAATTGGATAATCATATTGAACTTAATTATAAGTATAATACAATGTAAGATAAAGGAGAAACACCCCACTTGACATCAATATTTCCTCTTCTATAAAGTGTTCAATGGTTAAATTCAAACCTATTATAAAAACCTTTTGTTGCTTATTACTATACTCTGTAGTTGGTTTCTTTCTAGTCTCATCTTGTTCGAAATCTTGTGTATCCCTAGCCAGTTTTTCTTTGTTGATTACTTATTAAATCATCCTTCATTCCATTTCTAGAGCTGTACTCCCCCTCAGTACCATTACACTAATTTTCCCAATTAGTTGGATATCATTATTTATCGGTTATTTGCAATTTTTTCACAGAATTAGATCTGCTTCCGTACTGTTGAGGATGAAATGTTTTATGTGACAGAAATTTCGATTTTTGCAAAACATTGGCACTTTTTCTTCCTTGATTATATTCCTCAGTATGTCTTAACTTCTTTTAACCGCTTGAAAATGGGTTTGCTGCTTCTCCTACATCATATTGCTGTTTTCACTCTTCCATTTCACGGTTAGAATCCTATTTTTCCACAATTGTTTCAGTTGCCTTGCCTTCTGTAGCACAAATGTTTGTAATTATAGCATTATCATTTTTTTTCTACATTCTCTTTACTATATACTCTGTTGCTTCAGTTTCTGTTTATTCGCCCCACTCTCACTGATCTGGAAGTTTGTGTTCTATTAATAGGAGAATCTGGATTAAGGACTACTTAGTAATTTAGTGCCCAATTGGATGCTTTGAAATATCATCAATACATAAATTTTCTTTCATTTAATTAATGTGTCTCTCTAATCATTCCAATCTGCTATATTTTTCGGTCTTTTATGCAGAATTTGAGACTGTAACAATAGTGTAAGAAACTGAGGAAAATACAACCGATACCGCGAAAGTTCTATTAAAATTAATAGAGCAGATGAAAATCGAGTATTTCTTATACATACACACACATACATATATATATGTTATATTTATAGTTCCATGCGAAAAATCTATAAACCAGTAAAAACTATAAAATAACAACTTATCAAGATAATTCCTACCTTTAACTTTGGGACACGTTTTATAGTTTTAAGCGGCCGCAGAACTCGAAGAACTCTCATGGATTTTATGGTGCTTAAATTTTGTCCCGTACTGCTACCTCTAATGGTGAATATGGTAAAAAGAAAAATTAACTTTTTCACAATAAACAACACAAAATTGCTGACATCAGATTTCCTTACAACACAGGCCAGGCCAATGTGATACGTAACATAACATACAACACTTTCTTGGACATAACAGTTTTTTTCCTAACGGCGGAGCTATTGTTTAAAACACAAAATTAATTTTTTGTGAATATTTATTTTTGTCTCTCTGCTGTAAAGCAGTAAAAAGATGAAAACACGAAAATGAAATCACTAGTTGGTAAGACAATAATACAACTCGTTAGTGTATTATAAGTTTTGTACAAATCCTATTTCATTTCTTATATTTTTATGTTAAAATTTTGTTAACAGTAATAGGAAGTATAAACTTAACAATACTCACGCATAAGCAAAGGCAACAAGAGCACAAATTACAACAATTGCGTCTAATATGTTCCATGGATCTCGGCAGTAAGAACCCGGATGTAAGACTATTCCTTGATCTACAACCTGGATAGTAAAAAAATAAAAAAACTGTATATCCTCACTTGTTCGGTATAAAAACCAGTGACAGTACAGTAATAAATACGTGAAATATGTGTACATTAAATCATAAAATATTATTCTATCCCTAGAATGAATTCTTCGCTGTGATTGGCCGAGAGCGCCTCACGTGGTATGAAATATCTGAACTGTTGCCTTTATAATGTTGTTTGTTTCAGAGCAAATCCACATTGGGTTAACTGTTATGTCAATTGCAGAGAATCGAACCCTGGATTTTAGCGTTGTAAGTTCTCAAACTTACTGTTGCCACACCATATGACATCTTGAAAAGCTGGTCAAACGATCGCACACTGTTGCCCGGTTGTCAAAGCTATAGAAACATCGCCGCACAACTTTGTAGATAATAATATTTGCAGCACAGTGAAAACTCGCTAATTCATTTAGGCCTAATTATAAACAATTTGCACAAACCCATGAAATGGATGCGGACGTATCTGATGGCGTAAAATTCCAATTACTCACAGGTGAAGAGCTGCAGTGTCTCATTGCTAAAAAGTAGAGTAAGAGTACTAAAAGCATAATGAAAGCAGCTGCAAAAGTATTCGAGGGCGATTGTGGATAAAAACATCGAAAATCTCGCTAACATTATAAGCAAATTTTAAGCTGAAGCTAGACAAGCCAAAGGCCTCGGGAAACAGACAATCTCACTCCCTTAGGCAAGGTATGATTCGTTGCCCTTCTAACCAATCAGTATTTGTATAATGTTCACTAGGAAGGAATAATCAAACATTTTTGGTTGGGTTTCTAATACATTAACGGATTCGGTTTCCACTCCTTAATTTCAAAAGTTTTTAATCATCTTAAGATTTCTAATATTTTATGGACGTTAACGAGCTTATATCTAATATCATAGGTTATAGTTAGTTCTTTTGGCTTTCATCCGATATTCAGTTATTAATATCAACGTTTCAGCGAAACTGTATTAATGCAAGCTTGTTGAAATGTTTTCAATAATAATTTGATACCACAGAAGACGGTAGTAAAATTACTATCAGAGCAATTCAGCCAAAATGTTCTCTTAAAAGGAATTCCATATTTTTCACATTTCGAATCAGGTGAGACTATAAGAAAGCGTTAGGATCAAAACAAAATTTTAACCAGAAAAGCATATGAACGAACATCTTTACACATGTGATACTGATAAGAAACTCATATTTCTACTCGAGCGTTAATAAATGTTGGGCTAGACCACTGAACATGTTGCATAATATATCGACCAATAAAAATGGCTCAAACTGGTTTGTTAATTCTTCCAGATTTTTGGAATTACTTCTCCTACCTTTAACATCATTTCCAAAGTGAAAACTCCAGTGAATGCGTAATCAAAAAAATTGAGAATTCTGTTTTTCTCCGAGTCTTCTACTACCGGGTCTTCAGCTGCTAGGGTTATGCTGCTGAGGGATATGACGATCATTATGAAGAGGTCAAAGTAACGGAGGTTAACAATGTAGTGGGCGGCGCGTCGGATCCTGTAAAACGTCGACAATTTATTACTTTTTATTCGAAGAAATTTAATAGTCAATACAAGAAACTACTGTATTAAACGAAAACATTATCGCCATTATCATTACATAAAACACTTTTATTACAATGTTAATTTTATCACGTTATAGATAACCAGAGTGTATCTTTGCGTGAAAATTCTACCCAAACCAATCAAATTAGCATGTGAATTCCATAGTACACCGTTGCGGAGTTTATACCCATTAATTAGCAGGTGAATCCCAAGTTGAAGTGTTGCGAATGGTTTATAAAGTTCAGCATCTGTCAGTTGGAGTCAAAACAGGATTAGGAAAGGATGGTAGTTCACCGACGGTTAAGAGGGGTAATAGTGGTTATTGGAAGTCATATTATGGGATGAATGAACATAACATTTTATATTGTCTACTCTTACCCAAATCCACTTTAGGTGCTGACGGAAAGGAGAATATTGGACGAGCTAATTTGAAGTAAATCATTCCTCAGTGCCTGTGAACTTAAATATGTGTTGCGAAACAAACTCACGCATCTGGTATGAAATCTATTACCCAGAATATTCATTATAAAAATAGAATGATAAAAAACAACAACAAGCAGAAAATCTTTAAGATGAGCAATAACTCCTCTACTGATAAGTTTAGATCGGATAAAACCCAGGAAACATTCTGGGTATGGCTGTGTTGTTTCAAACGTGAGGAGTGGTAGAAACTTGTATGCTAGCTTCGACTTGGACCACTGGTTAAAGACAAGAAAACAATAAATCTTTACTTCTGTTTTTACATTCTAGATTTTGCTACATTGCCTACAATGATATAATTATAAGTGAAGGATCATATCTCTTTCAGCATGATAATGGTATCAGTGCATATTACATGCTATGTCCAGCAGTGGTTTGAGACAAAGAATGTCGATAATCTCAGAGGCCGACCCGAATCCAATTGTGATACTCTAGGATGTGTTGGAACACATGTTTGATGGGGGTAAGGAAGCCAAATTCCGAAATATTATGAACCCTTGGGAAGAGTGACTACCTATTCCACTAGATATGTACCAATGATTGGTGACAAATGTTTTTTCAACACGTTCCAGGCTGTGATTACCGCCAAAAGTCGTTTTACTAACTAGTAGAGAAATAACGCTTCCCTCCAGGTACTAGTACTTTTGTTATTATAGCCTAATTCCAAATAATGTAGCATTACCAAGTTATGAAACTACTGCAGTGTGTCATGTAATCTAAAGTTACTGTAAATATCGCATTATGTAAAATATTAATATAATCGTATATCAAAATACTTGTAGATACTAGAGTTATATTTTAAAAGTTTTTACAACAGGGCATTAAACTATGCCTTTATTAGAGGGATAACTTAAATTTATTTTTCTCTAGAAATTACTTTCTGTTATATAAAATTTTCACACAGTCATTTCACTTACGGATTTGTGGGTGACAAGATGAACATTGACGAGTATGGCAGCATAGGTTTAGGTCCAGTGATTGCATCATCTTTTTCCTCTTCATCTTCATTATGGGGGTTATCTTCATCTTCTGGAAAACATTCTTAAGTCTTCAGTGTATATACTTATAAAGATATTAATGGTATTTCAGTACATATTCTTACTAATTTCACATTCTAATCTCATAAATTTGTTGCTATTTAATTTCTTAAACTCTTAAATGCCATTTTGTCATATAATTGTATGATTTTTATATGGGGATTCTGATTTCCTAACATCATCTTTAAAACACTTAAACATAGTTATTTTGATGGCTTTGCTAACGAGTGAAGTGTTCATAATATTCTTAGACTGTCTTAGTTATCTAGTTATCATTCTTAAGATATAAGTGTTGTTAAGATACTTTTCGCAAAAAATGGCAATAAATGGATTTCAAGTTTTAAAATTTGTTTGTTTGTAGTTAAGCGCAAAGCTACACAAAGGCTATCTGCGCTAGCAGTCCCTAATTTAGAGGGACAGCAGCTAGTCATCACCACCCACCGCCAACTTTTGGGCTACTATTTTACCAACGAATAGTGGGATTGACCGTCACATTATAACGCCTCCACGGCTGAAAGGTTTGGTGGGACGGGGATTCGAACTCGCGACCCACAGATTGCGAGTCGAGCGCCCTAACCACCTGGTAATGCCGGGCCTCAACCCTCAGTAACCTGTCAAATGGAAACTGAGTTTTACCACTTGAAATTTGGTAACTCAGCAAAGGTTCGAGCTCGAATCCCAACCGATCTCACTTATCATATCTTCAGATAAAGTACATCGTCTCCAGACATGTTAAGGTATCTGTTTGATATCAAGTACCATTGTGAGGCATTGGAGCAAAAAACAGCAAGTTCAGAAGTCTGAAAGTTAAATTTTCAATAAAAAAAATATTTTTGACTAGTAATTTCAAACGTCTATTACATCGAATTTACAAATAATTTCTCCTATGAGTAAATAAACAAACTAAACGGAAATTACTTAAATGACCATTGTCTAAACTAATAAAAATACATCTTGAATAGTAAAATTGTGAAAAATACATAAGAGAACACAACAAAAACTGAATTCATAACATAATTTGTAATAAATATCGACTCTATACAATGAAACTTAAACTACTTACCATCTTCTGACAACTCGATATTTTCATTCATCTGCTCATGTTCATTCAGTGATCTTTTGTCTATCTCCTTATCGAGCTTTTCCTGGCTTCTCTTTGAGTTTTTCGAGTTATCTTGGTCACTAATACAAAATAAGAGAAACGTAGCAGTGACCACAGTAACGAGTACTGTATTGGTCATTAAATTTCTGTAACAATACAACTTGAGTGATTTGTTGACGAATCGAGAAAGAAGAATAGCGAAGTTATTGTGTTTACAAAAACAGAAAGGTGGTCAAGAAATATCTGATTAATTATCATTGTACCACTTTCGCGTGTTTATTCGATGTATCTTTCAAGCCTCTGTTTATCCCAACATTGAAACATTATAAACACCGTATACAAACCTTATACAAAGAATACAAGTCTATCTTCGCTAACCGTCCTAATTTTAACTGATAGACTAGAGAGTAGGAAGCTAGCCAACAGCACTCATCATCAACGTCTTGGTTACTCTAATCCAGTGTTTCCCAAAGCGGGGGCCGCCAAAAAATGGGCCGAAAACAAAGATGCCAAATTAATTTTAATTCTAAATAAATAATACGCCGATAGAAATTATATTGAATTAATAATATGATACAGTATGTCAAAAGCGCTCTGGTTACAGGGTTTTTGTTCATTTCTATCAAGACTTCTTGAACCTACGTGTTTCTCTAACATCGTGTATGTCGAAAGGAGATGTTATTTTTTTTACTACGGCACTGTTTTTCAATTACCATGCTAAAGTTATAGGTTGGGGACCTCAAATTTTTTATTCACATCAAGGGAGCCTCAGAGTAAAAGTGTTTGGGAACCACTGCTCTAATCGAACAATGCGGTTCAACCGGCACTCTTATAACACACCCACGACCCCAAAGTACAGAGTACGATTCTGCAACACTAGGATGCGAACAACGGATCCTCGGTTTTAAATCCGACACTCTAAGTATAAGCCTACGTTCAGCCTTATTCTATTTCAAAACAGCTACTTCTAAGCAGCTTCAAATATATAAAACGGATGGCTCAAAAACTGTTTAAATCCTTCATCAACAAGTAAATGAGATATTCAGTTAATATCAAACTTATGCAACTCAAAATATAAACAGACTCAGGTCTGTCCCTTCTGAAGAGCTAGTGGTTGAATTTGTCGAGACTAGAAGTTTCATTTAAGTTTTGCATATTCTATAAACTATCTAACCAATTGCTTATACAAGTTTGTACAAAAATTCAGAGAATATAAAGAAGAAACTTACTAATTGAACTGTCGTGATTTCCTTTCAGAAGTATTCTGTGGAGAAGGCGGACATATGTTGACTTGAGGAGGATCAATGCCTGAGTTGTTGGCATAAAAATCGGCCATTTCCTTTTCAAGTTCCTCCTGGTTTCTCTGAGGACGTATTACATTTTTTAAGTAGTTTGGTTTGTTATGAATTTCGCGCAAAGCTACACGAGGGCTATCTGCGCTAGCCGTCCCTAATTTAGCAGTGTAAGACTAGAAGGAAGGCAGCTAGTCATCACCACCCACCGCCAACTCTTTGACCAACGAATAGTGGGATTGACCGTCACATTATAACGCCCCCACGGCTGAAAGGGCGAGCATGTTTGGTGGGACGAGGATTCGAACCCGCGGCCCACAGATTGCGAGTCGAGCGCCCTAACCACCTGGCCATGCCGGGCCATTTTTAAGAGTGAAAAATCCATATTCCATTTGTATACATAAACAAACTAATTATTCATCTAGAATGATAATATACGACGATAATGTGTTTGTTGTTATACATATTATTCAGCTGTAACAAAAATAAATATACACAGTTAAGCCTATTCGAATTACGGGTAGGATACAAACTCTTTAGTTTATAAATAAACACACATTTGAGTAAATTGGCTATATATATATGAATATGCTATACAAAAATGGTATACACAGTTACAGACAAATGCTATCATTAAAAAAAATAAAATTAGCTCTGCTAGAAATATATTGTATTGATATTTACAATTATCAGTTAATTAAACTCCTTCCTCTACGATAAAACGAGTTCATTTTGTCTGCAAAGACAATTATGATTGATAACATTAACCGACCTCTTTGTCTTCTTCAGCTTCTTCTTCCTCTGCTGCAGTTAATTCTTGCGCATTGGCCAAGTTGTCGACAGCAATGGCCAAAAATACGTTCAGAAGGGTATCTTTTTGAAATCAAGTTAAATAACTTAACGTATTCTAATTTTAAAAATTAAACCAGTTTCTATTGATCGTATAATAATAACTCTATTGGCAAAGGCTGCAATTTCGTTGTCAAAAGGTACATTATTTTGCAGTTTCGTAAACACAAGTCAGTCAAGTATTTATTATACAACAACAAAACCTAAAAAGAAAAAAACAAACGTTGTTACAGCTGTGTCCCAGTTCCTCTTAAGCTAAGTCCGATGATTCTATTTTTGTTTCGAGTTAATATGGACATATGTTTGCTCTGATAATTTCTTACTCTAATATATATATATATATATATATATATGTTTTGTTTTGAATTTCGCGCAAAGCTACACGAGGGCTATCTGCGCTAGCCGTCCCTAGTTTAGCAGTGTAAGACTAGAGGGAAGGCAGCTAGTCATCCCCACCCACCGCCAACTCTTGGGCTACTCTTTTACCAACAAATAGTGAGATTGACCGTCACATTATAACGCCCCCACGGCTGAAAAAGCGAGCACATTTGATGTGACGGGGATTCGAACCTGCGACTACC